CTTCTTTTAATTTCCGCGCGTCGGATTGATTGAATTGAATAAAATCATAAAATCAATGAACAAAAATTAACAGAGGTATGTGAGAGGTAAAATTAGATGTGTGAATAAACCTATCTTAAGAAAAAATAATGCATGTATGTATAATACTCTTTTATATCATGTTGTTTGATTATTTATAATATTTAGAGAAATAGAAATGTGGAAGGGAAAAGACGAGCTAGGGTGTTGTTTTGGATCCTCAAAGGGTTCATATCATGTTTACCAAAAAAAAAAAAAAAAAAAAAAAAAGGGTTCATGTCATTTATCCACCAATGTAAAACGAGATATGTGCTCAATTAACAACCCAGATTTCATATAAAATGAAACAAGATCTTCCACATACATATCTAATAAGCAGCCCTGGCGCTTTCATCACCTAAAATGCATTAGTGTTGTAAAAATGCATGTAAATATGGATGTCCACTATGTAGTGGGAGTAGTAGGTAAAGGTTTAATGGGTGTAGTATGTGAAGGCATTAAGTGAGTGTGGTAGGTATTGATTTAACATCTGGCCTATTCATTTGCCTATATAAGAAAGACCAAAGTGTAAGAAGAGGAGACAACATCAAAAAGAGGAGAGAATAGAGAGTTATATTTGTACTCCTATTATTCCAAATAATGAATCAAATCACCATTGCTGCCCTGAAGACGTACTCCAGTCACACTGGTTGTAGAGAAACCTCGTAAATTTTGTATCTTATTTCATTTATTCCAATGCACACATACTGTTGATTTTACAACACGTTATCAGCACGAGAAGCTCTCGTGTCAATGGAAAGCACAACGCCACAAATCCGGTGAAGCACTACTTACCTCTCACCTCTGTCAGCTGGAATCTCACAGATAAGAAAATCTTTTCATTTATCTTCAAATCACTGTACTACTAATTTTCTTGAAGCAACTATATATCTTTTTGTATAACTGTATATCATCCTTTGCAGAAGTAGAAGGGTACATACTCAAAATCCATAGAAAACCTAATAGCCATTTACCCAACCTCTGAACTCTAACTTGCTGACCTCGGATTGAAATACTTTCTTCTTGAAAGTTGTTCATCCACCCAATACCTATAACATATCAAATTTTCAGAAAATTCCAACTGTGCAATCGTCGCAGATGTCTAAAACACCAACTCAGTTTCCAATTCTGCATAAAACTGGACAGCCATATTATGAGTATCGAAACTTCATTTTTGGTAGGTCAGATTGAAACTGTTTCGTCACGAAAGTTGTTCGGTATCCTCTTATCCATATCATATTAAAATTTGAGCTAAATCTAACAGTTTGATTTTCTCATAAGTTGTAGACACTACTCTTGACTCCAAAAATTATGAGAACCGTTTCGATCCTTTCAAAACTCACCGGAGAAGGAACACCAATTGAGACTTATTGTTACTATTACTTCCTAAGTGGAATTGGATCCCATCTCGATCCATTTTGTGGAGATCCTAGAAATCCCCACATCTTAGTCGTTCATCATATATTGTGCGGTCATAAATCATTTGCTTTTTTTTTTATTTGAAATTTAACACAAATAGTATCTGACAAAAATTAACCGCACGATGTACGATGAACAGTTAGGATGTGGAAATCCCTATGATCCCCACAAAATGGATCCGGATAGGATCATTTTCCTTCCTGAGTAACTAAAAGGACTTAGAGTTGTGAAAATAAAAATAAAATAAAATAAAAGGGATGAAACAAAAGGAAGTGGCATACAAAGAAAAAAAAAATGAATAGGCAAGATGTTAAATCAACACCTACCACACTCACTTAATGCCTTCACCTACTACACCCATTAAGCTTTCACCTATTACTCCCACTACATGGCGGACATCCACATTTACCTTGCATTTTTACAACACTTCCCTTTGGATGACAATATGTCAATATTGATTGTCTTGATAAAATCTTGATATGTTTTGGATGCTCATTTGGATGAGTATCTCCCCTTGATTTCAAATTCTTTAGGTTGATGCGTGTCAATGCAATATTTGAAATCAGGGGGAGATACTCATCCAAGGTAGCATCCAAACATATCAAGATTTTAATGAGGTAGTCAATATTGAGATATGGCTATCCAATGGGGAGTGTTGTAAAAATGCATGGTAAATATGGATGTCCACTATGTAGTGTGAGTAATAGGTAAAGGCTTAATGAGTTTAGTAGTTGAAGACATTAAGTGAGTGTGGTAGGTATTGATTTAACATCTTGCCTATTCATTTGCCTATATAAGGAAGGCCAAAGTGTAAGAAGAGGAGACAACATCAAAGAGAGGAATAAGAGAGGAAGAGATGAGAGAATAGAGAGAGTTATCTTTGTACTCTTATTATTCCAAATAATGAATGAAAAGGAACCTCCAATCACAGTGATTGTAAAGGAACCTCATAAATATTATGTCTTATTTCATTTATGCCACTATACACATACCGCCGATTTTATAGCAATTAGACTTAATTAACCAACTACATACAATTATATGTCTAAATATCCCATTATACGTTATTGAGCAAAACTTGTGACATGGTATACTTTCTCCTCTGAAAGGTTCCCTTTTTGGTTCCACTCAACGATGTCCCACCTAGTTGAGGAATTATGAGAGGAAAAAGCAAAAAAAGATCCAGGAAAAGAAGGAAATGATACAATTATGCATATACTTTTTACGTGGACTACTAGTAATCCCCCTTTAATAATGTTGATGAACAAAGGGAATCTATAACCCAAACGCCCACCCAACATGAAGTCCCGAAACTCATTCATTAGCATAATCTATGAAGCTGATTCAAAGGCCTTATAAGTTAAACATGCAGACTCATTGCACAAATAAAACCTTAATTAAACAAGCTTTTAGCTCTTAATTTTCTTCTCGTGCGGTCGAGGTTTAATAAAAATAAAAACTCAATAATTTGGCTGCTATTGATGTCATGTTGAATTGCATGAATTTGATCTCGCTGACTGTCTGTCTCTGATGAACCCAGAATTAGATTTCTTCAGTCCCAGGTTTTTGTGTACTGGGAGCATGTTAATCCTTTTAGTTTTTGTTAAAAATTTGCAAGCAGGGGAAGAGCAAAGTTAGCTTAGCCTGAAAAATAAAAGTAACCAATAAACACTAATCAATCTCCCTATAACTTTTTAAAAGTCACCTTCTCCCATATGAAGTAAAATATAAAGAGTATGATGAATCTTAATTACCAAATTAACCCCATTTCACCCACTATATAAACCAGTGGTTGCAAATGCCTTACGGTCAGGCAGATGAAAACCTACCCCATTTTTTCTGAGATTGTCTTTTGAGCTAGCTCTTCCTCATTAGAATTACCTCTTACTCCACCCTTTTTTTAGGTTGAATTTATAACCTCCAAATGGATCCAATCAAGTTACTGAAGTTCCAAGCAGTCCACAAACACAAGAAACACCATCATCCTTTGAGCAATTTCGTCCTTTATTTTTTTACTGCATTAACTTGCAGTTTATTTTGTTTTAGCCCTTTGTGGCTTCCCTATGTATCTTCTTCCATGAAGGTATTTGTCCTCGTTACCATCCCTAAAATCAGTTCAGTATTCTTGAGCTCCAAGTTTGTGTTCATTCTAGGGAATCTCATTGTTGTTGCCCTTATAGGAGAATCCAAAATCTTTTCAACAGGGACTTCGCCATCTAATATTGTTGACCAATACGAAAGTATGAAAAGGATCCAAGGCCAGCAGAGCTCTTCAGGCCACCAAGAAAGGGAACTCAAGACCTTGAATACTCTTTTGGTTGAAGAAAGGGTAGTGCTGAAGAGGACTTGTGGAGATCTATTAGAAGCTGTAGATGAGAAAGGATCGGTTGGAGAAAGTGAGGAAGTAATGGAGGAGGCGAAAGAGGATTTAGATGAAGATGAAGATGATGATGATGATAATGATGATGATGAGCTTAATTTACCTGATGATGATCAAAAACTAAACCAAAGAGCTGATGATTTGATTGCAAGGGTTAATGAGAGGAGAAGGTTTGAACTGCTATTCGTAACTGATGGCCTTTAGTAGCAAAGAATAGTTGTAAGTTTTAAAGTAGATGTGCGTAGGCCAGTGGTCAGGCAGTGTGTGCTACCTCTTGCACTTGAAATCTAATTTTGTTCTAGATGCGTATATTAGAATTGTTTAGATATTGTTTTGCATAAAAGAGCAGAAGAAGTAATCTTATTGTTATGCATCTGTGATCAATAAAATTGGTATGTTAAAAGTGCCGTTCTATTGAGGCCCAAAGACTTTTGCCTTTTCTTCTTCTTTAATGGACATCCCTCTATTTTAACCTAATTAAGGTTTTACGTGAGAAGAGACTTAATTCATCTTGTAGTTTTAATGGAAAACTAACCAAAACCCCCCAAAAAACTTTCCTTTCAATTATAAGGACAAAATAATTCAATAATATCCAAAATGGGCATGAAAAAGAAGACAAGGGAGAAAGCATTCCAGGGATATCACTTGCAAAAGCAAAAATTGTCTCCAAAGTTCACATGCAAAGCAAAAGTCAAACCACGTTTAAGAAACAGTGCTGATAATTTCAGCAACAGTAGAAACATAGTGACAAATGACAAATACCAAAGAGATGTCCACACCATTTATTTATAATTTTAATACCATTGTATCCTCATTCAATCTATATAAGTGGAGTTCCATTCATTGTAAAAAACACCTCAACATCTCAATACCTGAACACCATACTCTCACCATATACTCACACCAACTTCATACTCTCAAGCATCTGTAGTCTTCATAGCATCATTTGTAAACATTTCTTTGTAAACACTTCTCTTTGTAAACATTTTATATATCAATAAAAGTTCAAATGTACATATTCAAGCAATCTCCAAGTCTTAAGTAAGTTTTCTTTTCTTTTTTTAGTGTGTTTGTTTAATTAGACTTCTAATCCAAAACAAGGAAACACCATTGTAGTTATATTATTAACTTGCTAAACTGACGATCATACTTTGTTCGAGCACTCTGTTATAGTTGAATGCTTGCCATACAAATAACTGGACATTAACCAGGGTACTTCTGAATTCTTCGTACCTCTGAGTTTAGCCATTAAGGCCTTATACCTGCATTGTGAGTGACCATCATGTTGAAACATGTCGAGTTCCATGTGCAAGGTTTTATGTCTAGTTGTTATAATGACCATTCGATATTTAACCGGGCTTACTTAGCGAATCTGGTATCAGAGCCAAGTTTAGCATTTTAATAGTATAATTATAATAGTAAAGTACCCTGAGGACAAAAGTCATTAACACAACTGATATCATACTTGTGTTATTTTGTATGAACAACAGATATTATTGTCCTTTGAGACCTCGGCGACCACAACCACCAGGTATTTATTGTCCGAGGCACCCAACTATAGTTAGCATAAAGAGAAGATTATCATATATATCCAAAAGAATTAACAGGACTTTGAAGAAGCAAAAGTTTTATCTTGGTTATCTTGAACATCCTTCATTTATTCGTAAATATAATAACATAGAAGTGCAGCATTAAGTTTTAGAAGCAAACGAGCAACAGATCAAACTTTAGAGACCCTAAGAGAAGAAAGAGAGTTTCTAAGAAGCCAGTTAGCCATAACTTTAGAGAAAAGTGGACTATAGTTTATGATAGATTACCTTAATTTAGAAATTAGTGAACCTCAAAAAAGAAAAATAACCTTAGATCAAAATAGTTTAGTTTGTTATTTTCGATTAAGAAAGCATAATCATATTTTACATAGTGAAGAAAATCCACAAGCCAATAGTATTGTAGATCTTATCATTAGTCAAGCAAAAAATATAAAACTAGAAAATAATAAGCATAATCATTTGTTAAACCAGTTGTTAGAGTATTTTTAGAAAAATTCCATAAAAACAATTACAAAATTTAGATTATATTACATCTCAGTTAGAAGATAATAATAAAAATATTCAAAGGTTTCCTAGCAAAAGAGAGATAAAAAAGTTTGTTGACCTCATAGATAGTAAGCATAAGCAAGTAGAACTTAGATCAATAGAAATAGTTGAGCAATTAAAATTAGAAGTTCAAAAAATTCAATTAGTGCAAAAGGAGTTAAGTGAACAAGTAGATAAGTTGCATAATAAAATAGATAAATTATTAGTTTAATGACCGATTCTAGAACTAGCAGAAAATATATCCAAGCTTTGAAAGAAATTAGTAAGCTAGATAAAGAATCAGTAGGTTTAACAGATTTTTCAACACAAGTAGCCAGTAGTAATATTACCATTAGGCAAAATAATTTAATTATTCAATTAGTTTTAAGTTTGGCTGAGAAATTAGATCAAGTTGAAGAACAAATAGCAGAAATAAATCAAGTTTTACATAACGCATCGTCATCATTTCCACCATCTTTGTTAAATAAATTAGAAAATTTAACTATAAGTGCAAATAATAATATTAGAAGACCTAAGCTAAATCCTTTTGATAACCGAAAATAGAACTCTTTAGGAAAAAAAGGAAAAAAAGTAGTTAGAGCTAAAAATATTTATCCAAATGAAGAAGAAGCACAATAATTCATTAAAAGAGATTTTGGGAGAACACGGAAAAATAAATATAATTTGTATCAATTAGATTTACTTGAAAATAGAAGTAGAATTGAACGTAGCATCAGTCAATATAAAGTTAGCTATATTGATAAGGAAGTTACACTTAATTTAATTAGTAAATAAGCAATTACTTATTTGAGAAAATCACAATTCAGCCATATTTACATAGGAACAATATTAATTGGAGGGCACAAATAGGCATAAAAGCTTTAGTATACATATATGATGACAGATGGGATAATCACCAACAAGCAGTAATTGCAACAGCTGAAGTAGACTTAAGTTCAAACTTAGCAGTCATAGGATGTATTCCAAATTATGTTATGACAATTAATGAATTTAGTAAATATATTAAAGTAAGCATAAGAACAAAAAATTATAACATGAAAAGAGAGTATAAAAATTTGTGTATTAGCTTAATGTATATTGGTAAAGTGTCTGATAGATATAATCATAAGTTTAATTTAAAATTTCAAATTTTAGTTCAAACATTTGGTAGTAAACATGTAAATATGATAGAAGCAAAACCAGTAGATAATAGCCTTTTAGAAGGAACTCAGTGGATATTACCTAACTTACAAGTAGCAGGAAATAGACAACCAAATAATGTACAAATATATGAAACTAGTACAGGTCAAGCAACAATTAGGTTTAGTAATTACAAGCAACTAAAAAAAGTAGAAGAGGATGAAAGTGAGATCGAAAATGAGAGTATTCATATGACTTTTGATAATTTAGATATTAATTTCGTTGAGCAAAATTTTGATCATATTGTAAATAAGCTTATAGAAGATATTGATCACTTAGATGAAGAACAATATTTAGAAAAATATAAGACATATGATTTAGGACTATACAGAATTTCAGATGAAGAGATGAAAATTTTAATTTTAGAAATAGGAGTAGAACATATTTTAGGATCAAAAGAATATAATAATTTATTAGAATTGAAAGAAGAATGTAATCCAATAGAAGAAAATAGTACATTAGGAGTAGAAAATCCCAGACACGTAAGTAGAACTGATCAATAATTTTTTAGACCAACAAATGAACAATATAATGGAAAAGCAAAAGTAGATTATATAGAAGAAAGTATGATAAGACCACCTAGAAAAAATAGGATTCCATATTTGAGAGGGTTAGAACTGTCACATCCCGGCCCGGGTGGCACCACTTCCCGGGCCCGCTCCACCACCGTAGCACGATATTGTCCGCTTTGGGCCCCGACCACGCCTTCACGGTTTTGTTTCTGGGAACTCACACGAGAACTTCCCGATGGGTCACCCATCCTGGGAGTGTCTTGCGCGCTACTCGCTTAACTTCAGAGTTCCCATGGAATCCGAAGCCAGTGAACTCCCAAAAGGCCTCGTGCTAGGTAGGGATGGGAATATACATTTAAGGATCACTTCCCTGGGCGATGTGGGATGTCACAAGAACAAATTAATATAGCAAGTAATATATTAAACTTAGATAATGTAGATCCACAAGATTGGGAAAGAATGATTGAGAGATGAGAAAAAGGTTGCGTACATGCGGCATTAATGTTAGATTTTAGTAATTCACAAAATATGTTAGATTACTTTGAGTATACTTTAGATGATTTAGTTTTTTTATTATTTTCAGTCATGGAAAGTTCAAAATCCAGAACAACATCAGGCAGACAAAACACATTTTAATATTGATGGTTTTGTTACTTTGATTAAACAATAATTTTTAGATCATAATATGTTAGATGGCAGAAGCGAATAAGAACAAATAAGAGCAATTAGGAATTTAGAACAGTTATAGATTTGTGATTTACAATATATAGCTGAGTATACTACAGATTTCTTTAAATATTTAGGAAGAACATGTAGAATTAGTGATATTAATTTATTAGATACTTATATGACAAAAATAAAAGGATTAATAGGTGAAAAGATTTGGAATGAATGGCAAAGCATCAAAGAAAAATGATATTGCAATAGGATTTAGAATTCAACATGTATATGACATACTTACACAGGAGTGTAGTCAAATAAAAGCTAAGAAGCAGATTAGAAAACAATTTTACATGAGTTGTAAAAATATAAATTTACCACAACAGTATGGTTGTCATAAGAAAAATAAGCATAAGAAAGTATACAAAAAAAAAATATAAGTCATATAAACCTTACAAACAACATAAGAATTTCAACATAAGACCTTCAAGAACATATAGGAAGAGAAAATATATTCCAAAACAATTCAGAAAAAGAAGTGGTAGACCTTGGATTAGAAAATATAAAGTACCAAATGATAAGAGTAGTTGTAAATGTTATTCATGTAGAGAAGTTAGACACATTTGACCTAAATGTCCAAAATTAGGTAAACAGCCGAGAGAAAAAGTACATTTAATGGAGTTGTTTAACTTAGAAGAAGATGAAAATATTCAGTCAATATACAGTTTAGATTATTTAAGTGATAATGAGAGTATTTATAGTATAGAAAGTATAAATATGATAGATTCAGATTTTGAAGATTCAAGTAGCACAAATAGTGATTTATAAGAATATATGTATGCATTCATAGAAGAGCAACATGAAGAAGAATATAAATACATTAATTTAGGTTGGCCAAAAAGATGTCATAAGTGTAACAAATTAGTTGCAAATAAATATTATAATACAAATTCAATATTGTGTGAAAATTGTTATAGTAATAGGTTATTAGAAATTAATTCAGCAGAATCACAAGAAAATACTGAAATATTATGAAATATTATTTATAGTATAGAAAAGCCAAAAAATAGTTCTTTAATTACCATAAATTGTGAAATAAAATTAGCAAAAGAATATAAAATACAAACAACAGCCATGATAGATACATGGAGTACAAAGAGTGTCATAAGAGAAGAGTTAATACCGGAAAAATATAGACAAAAATTAGCAAAACCAGTAAGAAAAACACAGTTTGATGAGAGACCAGTTTATTTAACACATTGTATTATTAAACTAGAAAAAAAAACAATTTAATTTACCATTAACATTTGTTTCACCAGTAGGATCATATCCATTCATTTTAGGTTTAAATTTTTTGAAAAGTTTACAAGGTTTTTTTATTTATGAATCCTAACATAACATTTTTTAAAAGAGGTATTACAATAACTGTTCAAAGTAATACTATAAAAGCATACAAAAACATAAGTATAGAAGAGACTAGTGGCCAAGATAGTTGTTACTTAGAAAACTCAAAAGAAAATGATGAGCATAATAATATAGAAGAGTTTGATGAAGAAATATTTGAACATGAATGATAGGAGCATATTTAGGCGACTTACTTAGCTTGTTTTCGTGCATCTATGTTGTTAATTCATAGTTGTTTTAGTAGTTTAAGCCATTTTCGTGTGTTTTTAGGTTCATATGGCTAAGGAAGCAAAAAGATGCATTTTGGAGCATTTTGGAGCAAAATTGGGCTTGGAATGGATAGCATATGATTGGAGCCAAAGTGTTGGACGAATTTGAAGGCCTTGTATTCATTTTGGACATAAAACAAAGGGCCTAGCCCATTCTCTCTTAAACCAACCCCAAGGCCATGCATTTCCTTCCAATTCCAAAGCCCACAATCACTTCAAAAGCCATGCAAAGAACCATCCATATCATCATAAACAATCATGCACTCCACATGCATTTCCACCCTTACAAGACCCTAAACATATCATCCACACAAATCTGCCATCATTCACACATTTCTCCACTCATTGCCATGCACATTCACTCACCACAAACATTCCACATGCATTCATCAACATATCTAGTTGTCACTCACATGCATTTCTTTCATCATTTCCAACCCACATGTTCCTTTAATCATTCACACATACACCCATTCACCACCAGAAATCATCCTTTAAAACATTGCACATGCATCCATAATCATTCATTTCAGCCATTCCACATGCATTCCCTTCATAAATAATTCACATGCATTCATCATCATTACCCCTTTAGTCCACATGCTCTCCCATTTCAGATTCACCACAAGAAAACACCATCATTGCCGTGCACATGCATATATTCCTCATCCTAGCTGTCATGTCCCCCCCATTTTACCTATAAATAAGCATCCATTGCATTCATTCTCATTCACTCTCATTCATACACATTTCAGTCACAAACTCTTCCATTTTCAATGTAGACATCAAACCACAACACCTTTGGTCGTGACTCTCCCTTACAATCCAAACACCATACTTCCATCCCCCCAACCAACTATCCCTAGACCTTATGCTACAACGAAGAGGAAGAGAAGAGGAAGAGAAGAGGGCCTAAACGTTCATACAATTCAAGTTTGAGTTGTTGGAATGTTTAGGTGTTTCTTTGATTTCAATGTTTAAATTCAATTCTCTTTGTTTTGTATGATTGAGGAATGGAAGAAAAGAGTGCTTAAACGTTCATACAATTCATGTTTGAGTTGTTGGAATGTTTAGGTGTTTCTTTGATTTCAATGTTATAAAGAACTAAATCCCCCTTTGGCTAGGGGTGGTTTCGATGTAGCCTTGCAAAACTATTCCATGTTATTAAGTTAAAGTATTTGATTCACCAATCTGTGTTCTTGTTTCATTCACTGATTTTATAGTTTAATTTGTTTGTTAATCTTAATGTTTGATCACCATTAGGGCTGCTTATGAATTATTTGATCAAGGTTATAGTACACATCATGCTTAATCTTGGTAGACATGTAAATGAATGAAGAAACTGCTATGCATACATCCTGCCATGTGATTTCTTTGATTCATTGAAGTTTTCTTGTTCTTAATGGATTCTTACTTGCTAATCTAAGTTGAACATCACAACTAGGTTGCATATTAGGAATACTTGATCACAACCACACATCAAATGGATGATCATAAATAAGTAAAACGAACCCTAGTTGCAGATTGGAGAGTTGAATACGTTTTGACTTAACAAACATGGACTTCGTTTAGCAATGGTGAAATCGAATCCCTAGCTTCATCTCCATTGATACTATCTCATTTTATTAGTTGTTGATTCATTTATTTGTGTTTACTTCATTTCCTTATGCTTTTAAGTTACAACAACAAATCTGCCTTTAAATTGCAATCTGTGCATTTAATTTATTTTCGTCAAAAATTCAATCCCCCTTTACTTTAGTGTCCAATTTAGTTAGAAAGTATCTTAGTTTGTGTTTTTAAGCATTTTGATTCATTCTATTACCCAATTTCGTCCAAAGTTACCAAAGTGCTCCAAACTGCCCAGAAAGTGATTTTAAGGCAGTTTTGAGTGTTTTGGGGCTGTTTTGAGTCTTTTGATTTGTTTGAGTGTTTTTATTGTTTAGTTTTGCATTCTTTGAGTCTAGTTTAGTGTTTCAAACTTTATTTTACGTTTTTGAGTCAGTTTCCAAGTGATTTTGCAATCCCTCATAATCCCCGGTTAAGAACGATCCCTACTTACATTCTTCACTACAATTGACAAAAAGAGGGTTTAAATTGTGTGCGTATAATTCTCGCATCAATGAATATCCGATTTTAGAAGAAGGAAACCATATAAAAATATTACAGTTAGACAGACCGAAGAGTTTAGAAGAATTATTACAATTAGCAAAACAAACTATAATCATTTCCTGAAAAACTTATAAAAGTAGCAAAAGATTGTCTGGAAAAGTGGAAAGAAATTTGCAAAAGTTTTATTAGTAGTCCTCTAGATTGGTATGTACATATGCATAAGGAGAAAGCTAGGCATATAGTCATGATTAATGAAGAATCCTTTACACTATACCTTATCTCCTCACATAGGTGGACTCATTCATACAAAAATATTCTAAAATTCTGATGAATCCAAATGTTAGCCTTAGATGAGTTTGAAGATTTTAGGCATGATATGATATTAGTTTTTGAAGATTTTAGGTATGATATGGTATTAGTAGCACAAGAAGAAGAAATATATATTTACAGATAAGACAAGGATCAGTCAGCCCCCTTGAAAGCCTCAAAAATTCAAAGAAGAAATAGTAGAAATGTACTACAAAGTAAAAGAAGATAAAGAAAGATGCAGAGCTAGTAGAAGATGATGAACAGTACTGAAACAATTTGACAGAAGAAGAGCCGCAAAACATTAACAACATGATGGAAGCATGAAGGGCTGGCCACAAATTAGCATAAGTTGAATAGCATCATGTAAAATAATGTATTTCTAGATAGAAATATCATTGTGGACCCTGCTACAATAATAAAAATGGCATACGAGTAAATAAAGAAAAAGCTTGATCCATTATGGACTTTTCATACACAAAATGTCATTTTGATTAAAAATGAATAGTGCCAAGCCCTTTTCGTTAACATTCCCTAGTTTTAATTCTATTGCAAACATTATAATGTTGTATGCAAGATCTAACCTTCATATGTCTCACTCAATGATACGAGTTTTATGCAAGATCTAATAGTTTCAAAGATTCATTATATCTCTCTATACAAAATCTAACTATTAATTTTCTGAATCACTCAGTGGTACATTGCTCATAGACTTCTTGAGAACAAGTCAAGCCCATCAAACTCTCTCTCTCGTCTTAAATAATAAGTATTATGTTTGTTTGTTGCCATATCACTTAAAGGGTGTCGAAATAAGCTCAAGTTGTTTTCGATGGAGCCTTGTGCAATAATAATATATGACAAAGGATTTAAATGCGATTAAAATGATAGATTAGTTAAGTTTTTTACATGTAAATGTGAGCAAAATTCTAAGAATTCTAAAAGAGAACAAAGATCTTTTAACAGATATCAAAATGTCAAAACAATATTACATCATCAAAATTGCCACAATTAGCAGACACCAAACTGAAAATTAAATGAATCAAATTCTAGGTCTCAATATAAATTAGCTATAGTTTTTACATGTTTAACTCCGGAGTTAAAAGATTAACCATATATGGAACATCAGATACACTATACATGTTTTACTTTTTATATATGAAAGTGAAGTATTCACTTGTGTCAGCCCATATATTTATTGTCCTTCACAATTTGCTACCCACCTATTAGGAAGACGAATTTTGCAACATATCAGAAAATTAGCATGAATGGAGGAGCCTGATGGAAGAGGTGATCCCCAAATCAGATGTTGGAGTCGAAATAATACAAGTAAAATATAAACAAATTTTTGCGGTAATATACTCACTCTAAGGCCCCATTTGGTATTACTTTTTGCTTCACTTCAAAATTAAGCAATGCAAAATGTTTCGTAAAACTAAAATTTACTTCTTTTTCTAAAAAATAATGGCATTCAGACAACAGCTTTTATAAAAAGCAAAGTTGACCGTTTAATGAATATTTTCAATTTATGTAATACACTCATTTTTTTTTATAAATAAAATGACATTATTTATCTGTCTACCCACATTTTTTTTCCTTGGAGAACAAAGTGACCGTTACTAATTAACACTAGAGCCAGTAACCTTACACCGGCATTCAGACAACAGCTTTTATAAAAAGCAAAGTTGACCGTTTAATGAATATTTTCAATTCATGTAATACATTCATTTGTTTTTAATAAAATGGCATTATTTATCCGTCTACTCACTTTTTTTTCTTCGAGAACAAAGTGACCGTCACTAATTAACACTAGAGGTAGTAACCTTACACCACCATCACTACCAGCACAATTGTCACCACTAGCGCCACCACCACCATTGCTACCAGCACAATTGTCACCACCACCACCAGCACCACCACCACTACCACCACAAACGCAATAACAAGCACCACCACCACCATTGCCACCACCATTGCCACCACCATCGTCGCCACAACTGCTGCCATAATCGTCACTACCACCACCACAACTACGCCACCACAACCACCATCATCGTTGCCACATCCCCACCACCATTATTACATATGCACTTCAACCACCACACCATGCTATTTGCATCATCACCATACAACCACCATTGTTGTTGCCATCATCATTGCTGCCTCCACTGTGATCGTCACCGCCACCATCTACAACTGCAACCACCAACCTTACACCACTGCCACCACCAACGACACCACCACCACAATTGTCATCATTTCCGATGCCACCACTACTACTCTACACCTCAACCACAACTACCTCTACACCCCAACCACCACACCTTACTATTGGCACAACCACTATATATACCCCACCATTGCCGCGGCCATCACCACCACAAATGCTGCCATAGTTCATCACCACCACCCTCATTGCCATGTCTATTTATATCATTATATACAATTAATTATGTCACTTACATTAAATTTTACCAAAGCTTTTACACTATTTTTTCATACTCACAACACTTAGAAAAATATAGTTTATCAAATGTTCAACTGCTATATTTTACAAATATTTTTAAAGCACAACATAATCAATTCTAACGTTTCCTATTTTCCTTGGTTTTTTTGTTGAGGTTTGTATAAATTTAGGGGTGTGCTATCCACACACCCCATTTTACTTCTTACAGACACCTTGATAATTTCTGTCCGTTGATCTTCTTCAATTCATCTGATCCGACGACTAAAAATTAAAAAGGTGTGTGAGAAGTAAAATAGGATGTGTGTGTTAGAATTCCTCCTTCTCACATCGGCCAGAATGCTTGAGAACAAGCTCTTTAAATAGAATTACTCTAACTAATATCGAGACCTTTTAGATTAAAACCCACACCTGACGGATCGAGCAGGTGGTTAAGTGGGGACAGTATCTGTGTTGTTGGAGTGGGCCTTTGGCCCGTCTACCTGAAATTTAACATGGTATCAATGCCAGGGGACGAGCCCGTACATCCATGTGAACGGGTGGGTCCCCTTTGACCCCGCGTGAACGGGTGAGCCCCGACTTGGCTCCACGTAGGCCAAGAGATGCCACGTGAATGGATGGGTCCCCATTGGCCCCGCGCGAACGGGGTATCCCCGGCTTGGCTCCACGTAGTTGCCGATGTGGGGAACTTCATGTGTGACCCATAAAATTGGCTCTCACATGCGGAGGAGTACTAGAATTCCTCTGTCCCACATTAGCTAGAAGGCTTGAGAACAAGCCCTGTAAATAGAATTACCTCACTCTAACTAATATCGAGGCCTTTTAAATTAAAACCCCGCACCTGACGGATTAGGCCCACTCCAACAACACCGATACTTTCCCCACTTAACCACCTGCACAATCCGTCATGTGTGGGGTTTTAATACAAAAGGTCTCGGTATTAATTAGAATGGAACTATTCTATTTAAATTGCTTTGCTTTCCTTCTCCTAGCCGATGTGGGACCAACAGTGTGAATACCACATTCCTAAATTTATCTAATCCATCTCTCCCAATCAGTTCAGTACTTTAGTCTCTCGATCATCTCACTTCTCACTCTTGCCACGCGTGGTACGGACTTATTGCGACCTGCAGGTAAAAGCGAACAAAACTTTCCACTTTTGGTGACTCTTGAAATTTTCAATCTTGTACATATAGCATGAAAAATTACTGGAATCTTATAATAATTAGGGCAATTACGGGTTGTATGGTGACTGGAATTTAGAGATTGATAGTTTACGTAGACTATAAATTTTGAGAAAGAAATTATCGACAGAAGGCCTTTCAGCCTTGGTTTTGGGATAGCTATTAGGTCTAGTGGTTCGATTTTCTGATATTATTAACCGTCTCTCAGCGGATGTATATGTAACAATCACGTGTGGAAATGTATATGTAATAATTACATATGTGGCATAAGTAACCTAATACAATTAATTAAGAATATATTCAATCCTACTAATTACAGCAAACCATAAAGAAAGTATAAGTTGTTTATTTGTTGCTGGTTTGCTTTATATGTGATGAGACAAATCATGTTGCTGAAAGTTTCATTAAAACTCTTTCATTGACAAGTTTAGTTGTATACTTTTGTGTAAGAAGAAAAATCATAATCAACTAAAAACACTTATTCAGATTAGAACTTTTGTTGATCAATCTTTCGAGTGTTTGCATCTCTCTGTGTATTGTGACAACTCCATAGCATAAAACAAATGATCTTCTACTCTCTTTCACTCACCTTATCACAATTTTATTCAATGGGGCTGGAAATGTTATTTATGTGTATCGAGTGTGAGAGCAAGGCCTCTTGTCATATAGTAAAGGAAATGGAATCCGAGTAGGGAACTTCCCATCATGTAATTCTACTAGAATAGGACTTTATCACCTAAACTTGTACTCATATCTGATTAGGATTACTAATCGTATCAGGTTTGCTTTAGCTATAAAATCCTAATAATACACTGTCTTTATTAGCATACAAGTGTTATTGAAATCAATCTTTGCAATCTTTAATCTATATGAGACGTTACATACCACTGTGCAGCTCTAATATAGTTTTACACTTTAATCCAACGGATAGAACTTTAGCAGATGATGCCGGAAAAGAATTGGTTTTTCTATGTTCAGACGGACAAATACCTATTGGTAATGGATATATTAGTAGATTGTTGGCAACAAGATCTTCGAAATCTCCACCGGAGTTTAAACTTGTACAAGCTTCTGAATATCCCGACAGAAGGCCCTTTCCATTTGGACATAAATATAAGATTGTGGATTCCAAACCCTAGGGCCTATGGGGTGAGTTTCTGAGCGTCCTTGGTACATGTATGAAGACAATCTTGAAGTTGTTGCTTTTGAACCCAAAAGTACCGTAATTAATTCCCATGATGTTTGGTCCCAATTAAGATAGGAGTAGGATTCTCTTCCCTCCTATTACCATCTCCTTCCATTCCCTCATCTCACACTCTTCTTTTTGTCTTATTCTTTATATAAAAAATTTAAAACAAGATGTAGATGTGGCGTAATCACAACCGTTTAAATAAGAGAGGATGAAAGGAGAGAGAGATTAGGAGAAGAGAAAATCTTACTTCATTAAGATAATAAACCTTGTTGTGGTCCACTGGGGACAAAATATATGTCATGTCCAGAGCGTTCGCTAGTAAGTGAGACAAGAAAACCCACCAACCCTCTTCAAAGTTTTCGATTGGATTGTGGACAGTCTACCCAAATCCACTCATCAGACTAGTAGTAAAATTTCTTGATGTGGTTGGGGCAACAAGCTGGTTGTTTTTCAACTGTACAAATACGATTACATTTCAAAACAAGTAATGCTAGAAAGATTAAATTTGAAGACAAAATTTTAAAAATTAAAGAACATGAAAGTTAATTATTGATTTATTACTTAAATATTGATAAACATGCTTATTTTTATTGGTCATATCATTTAGTTTGTCAAATTTGTCTCCAAATTTAGTCTCTCTAACATTACGCTTTCGACACCCTCAAAATTAAATGGGAAGATGCATTTGACATTACGGATGGACCTCTCTCTAGATTTGCACACTTAAAGGACTTTTCTAGTTGCCGTGCGTGGTGATTGTGTTATGGCTTATTAGTTGGACGCAAATGGGATCCCTAAGCTGGACGGACCTCTCTTTCACCTCATTTTTGTCTATTCCATCAAATAGACATTAAATTAAATGGTAGTATGAACATTTGATTTTTCATACAACTCTTTACCTCCAATCTTCCCGATAAAAGAATCTCAATTCCATTATTGACAACTTTAATTAAACTTTTGACCTTAACTTACAATAAAATGGTTGCTCTGTAGATAACACTTTATTGTAGAAACAAAAAGTAATTATGCCTGCACACCCTGATGTTGGTTTGATCCCCATGATTCTTATCTCTCCTTACAAGTAACTCTTTAACGCACTAACACTATCGTTCTACTAAAACAATAATAATAATGCCCTTCTCCAAGTTTACCACGACCTGCCACCATTTTCATAAGGTTAGCCTTCGATTGAACTCAAGGATTGGATTCGTAAACCTATGTTCCTTAATTTCTCATCTTCAACTTACTCCTAATTTGTTTCCCCAGCTTTTCTGGCCACTTCACATGCGGCTTGGTAAATACATGGTCAACCAAAATTCCTACGTAAGTGCCACGTCCCCAAGCATGGCTATCTCTGTCTATAGCAAAAATAAAATATTCATACTACCCTTTTAACATCTATTTGACTGAATGAACGAAAACAAGGTGACTTGAGATTAAATGAGACGAAAACATATTCGAAGAGCATAATAAGACAAAACTGGTTTCAAGAGAGAAAGTAAGAGTAAAATGAAAGTTTCAGGGAATAAATTAATTTTAAGTTGTTTTATGTTGTTCTCTAAATGTCCAAATACAAGTTAGTAAGTAGATTAATGCTACGTTGTACGTTCTATACCTTGTTTGTTCATAGTATTTTTGCCTTCGACGTTACTGAAAATACAAGAAATTAATAGAGTCAAATTATAAGACTATTGTTTAGAGAGAAAGGCTTTTATTTATTTTTATGAAGAGAAAAATCTTCCTCATGAAAGATGACGTCATTATTATTTTTAATTATTTGTACATATAATGTTTAATCAAATTCTTAAAGAAACGTACGTTGAATCTAAGAAATAGAAAGAAGCCACTCAGTATTACGGTATGGTAGTATTCTTCTTCACTTGTAAGTGAGAAGTCTTACGTTGAAATCTCGTAGATAGCGAATTCGAAACCAAATTAGGTTACCCATGGTGTGGCTGTTGCGAAAATTAGATAACCAAAATTAGCCTCATTAAGTCTCAAATTTTTGTGCTCGCAAGTGTGCAAATCAAATGATAGTATATCACATAAGCACAAATATCGTCGCACAGAAATCAAATTGATATCTAAAAATCTTACTAACTAAATTGAAACAAATTAGAGTGGAGAAGGTTTAATAGAAAATATATGAAATTTTGAAATTAAACTAAAATAAAGAATGCATGTAAATTATAAATTGAAACATAAGAAAATAAGACCTAGGGCATCCGAATTCACCGTAACCAATTCTACTTAATTCCTTCAATATGTTATGCTCAAGTAGTTTCCTAATATTGCTGATCGATTTTCCCTAAATTATTCAATGACCATGGCATCTTGTTTCATCAAAAGTATCCTTACATCTTAACCCTTTATGGTATATATCTAGATGAATTTAAACAAGTAAGAACCTATTAATTAAACTCTATGGAAATTGTTGGAAAATCACACACCCTAGTTGCATGGCATCTACAAATAGGTGTTTATGGTATCATTTGCAAGAAGCTAAACCCAAGTTAAGTATGACATTTACTCTAACTTGCATCAAATCAACTTAATCTAAATCTAATGATCAAGCATTTAAATAAAAATCAAGCGCATTACAAATAGCAAAAGATACTCAACAAAGAAGAAAAACTTGATAATAATATTGTCAGAAGGCAATTAAGTATTCATAATTAAGCTACATAGTATAGCCCTAGCAAAGAAAAAACCCAAAGAAAGAACTCTTCCCTCTTCCCTTCTTTGCCGCAGCACCCCCTAAAGTGTGATATATTTTGGTGGCTTTCTTTCTTGAATGAATGAATAAGGAGAATTAATCTCCACATTATAACTCACGGCAATGGGCAAGAAAAAGGCTAATTAAAAACCTAGCTCTTATTGGACATTAAGTCCTAATTAAAGAAAAAGAAATTAAACGGAAATCATAAAAACAATTATGTCTCTCTTAAAATTCACGGAATAGCATTCCCATGTCACTTTGATATCCAAAACCGTTGCATTTTCATCTTTTAACTGTAATGCATGTCTTTGTGCAATTACTTAGACTCTTGCTCCATTGGATTACTCTAGACACCTGAAAAGCTCATTTTTCACTTTTTTTTTTTTCTTCATGTAACTCCGGTATTGAATGCCTATAAAATAAAACAATAGAATTTAGTGCATTTAACTCATTCATATATACGATACCCAAAGAAGATATATGATAAAATATATGAAAATTTGACCACATCAGTGGTTCAGTCCAAGTTCTTATCCTCTTAGTGTATAATATATCGTTGTACTAAAAAAATAATAAAAATAATACCTATGTCAAAACTTTCCTAGTTTTTATCTTCATTTTTTATACCTAAAAACTTGTTCGATAAAACGACATTGAATTCATAAAAGGTTGTCTAATAACAACTGGATGATAGAGTCAATGGTTTTCCCAAACAAATTCTAATGGCGATCTGTCTTTATTCTTATCCTTCTGTTCTTTGAATTCTACACAAATGATAACGTGCATGGAGAGATTAAAACCAAAATAAAAGAGATGGAGAGATTGTTCAATGTAACCTGGTACACTACATGTCACTATATTAATGATGGATTACGTATGTTAAAAGTTAATAACTTAAAAAACATAATTTTTCACTACTTATATAAAATATACGGTGTACCACCTGTGTTCCGATCACAATAAAAAATTTCTCAAAGAGATGCGGCAAAATTTGGGAGCATCTAAACAAATAATACCGTCACACAAGGAAATGTCTGTAGACGTGTCCTAATCTTGCCACGTGCCCTGTTGCTGCCATTGTACCGCCACCTCCTCCTTCTTCGTCTCCTCCTAACACTCCATATAGTCATAAACCCCAAACCAAATTAATAGACAGCTTCTATCTTCAAGATTTCATCATCTCAGAAACATATTCCTGTGTTATCATCAGACAGGTAGCAAATTTAAGCAAAGCCATGTTGGGTCTTATTCACACGTTCTTGAATCTTGCAGCTCCTCCTTTCACCTTCTTCTCCCTCTGCGTTTTCCTGCCACCCTTTTATCTCTTCAAGTCCTTCTCCTATGTCCTGAGCTCCATTTTCAGTGAAAAACTCAATGGAAAGGTCGTTGTCATCACCGGGGCCTCCTCTGGTATTGGAGAGGTAACCAATATCACTGACACTAAAGAAAATATGCACAAATAGAGCACACTACAAACTTTTAATCAAAATACAACCGAATCATGGTAGATATGAACAACAATTTATTGTTTGCTTAAGTTTGAACCCCGTTCTATTTGTGCATGTCACGTGACATATTATTTTTTAGTTAGTACACTTGTATTATTTGTGTTGTTTGATTTTACAGCACTTGGCTTATGAGTATGCGAAGAGAGGGGCACGGTTAGCCCTTGTTGGGAGGAGGGAAAACGCTCTCAGAGAAGTTGTTGATCGAGCAAGTGACTTTGGCTCTCCAGATGTTCTCATGATACATGCAGATGTTTCCAAGGTTGAGGACTGCAAGAGAATAGTTGATGACACCATGAACCACTATGGAAGGCGTAAGTACAAGTTATATGTGTACAAATCAACTTTTATCATGTTTTTGGCACGGGGAAATATGAATTTAAATTAGCTAGCGAATTAGATTGGTACTCCAAAAAGAGACGTGATCTTGTACTATTTTGCTACTTTGTGATATGTATTCATCCCATAACAAACAATAATGAAGAAAGATAAAGCTATTTTTAGGGTGACAGTAACATGTAAATTCTTATTTAATGGTATGATTGATTATTTGATGGGGTGTGTGATGTATGCAGTGGACCATCTGGTGAACAATGCTGGGATCACTTTACTTAGCATATTGGAAGACGCAACTGATATCACCAACTTCAGAACCATTATGGTAACTGCTCTGATTTCATTTGTGTGGTTAATTGGTAAATACATGTCCAATTATCAAAACATCAATATATTTTGACTGAATTTTGAAGTAAGCCAACCCAAGTAATGTCCCTATCTGTTATATTTTGTTTCCAAATAGATGAGTGAAAGTTGAATACTTGTGATTGCAGGACACAAACTTCTGGGGCTCGGTTTATACCACTCATTTTGCACTTCCACACCTGAAAAGCAGCAAAGGTAAAATCGTGGTACTTTCGTCGTCTGCTTCATGGCTACCTATACCAAGACAAAGCATTTATAACGTAAGTGATCTTTATGAAGATTGTTTATATTAGAGAGATTATCTTCTTATACTTCATTACATAATTGTTCACGTATATCTAATTTAGGCAAGTAAAGCAGCTCTACTAAGCATGTACGAGACACTGAGGATTGAATTTGGGCCAGACATCCAAATTACAATCGTGACTCCTGGATTCATAGAGTCTGAGCTAACCCAAGGCAAGTTCTTAATGAGTGAAGGCAAAATGACAGTTGATCAAGATTTGAGAGATGTAAGTTTGTTAAATTCTTATATGCACTTAATTTATTAGTTAATCTAGTATGCATATTAGAAACATGTTATTTTGTTCAATATTGATCATCGCTTCATAATCACATTATATTGCTAAACTGTCTATATCTGTTTATGTTGTTAAGACTGTCAATATTGATCTTTGCTTCAGATTCACAGTATGTTGCTGGACTATCAATATCCATTCACAGTTTGAATAGTGTATCATATTAACACGGCCCTCATATTGTTTTGTATGAGCGTAATTTTGTGCAGGCCCAAGTAAGTGCAACTCCAGTTGCTAAAGTGCAAGGATGTGCCAAATCAATCGTGAACAGCGCTTGTCGTGGGGATAGGTACTTGACGGAGCCGGCATGGTTCAGGGTGACATACTTATGGAAGGTGTTTTGCCCTGAGCTACTTGAGTGGGGTTATAGACTAGTTTATATGAACAGGGCGGGCTCATCTGCCAGAGATGCACCTAGCAAGAAGATCTTGGATTACACAGGAGCCAAGAATGTGCTTTACCCTGAGAGCCTCCATACTCCTGAAGTCAAGACAGACTGATCAAAACTAGTACTTGGGATTTAAGGATGTGAAATGGTTACCAAGTTATATACATATATATATATACATATACATATACATATACATATACATACATATATATATATATATATATATATATGCACGCGCGCGAAAGTTAGGAAGGTTTGTAATTTGGGTGGTGGTTAAAATCTGGGGGGGTTTTGAGTTGTCTACGTACGTAGATGTAAATAAGCAATAAAGGTGTGGTGTGTTGTAATGGATAAGTTAGTTATTAACTAGCTAGTAATGCCCGCGCGTTGCTGCGGGATTACAAATTCCAAGAATAACAAATTTGTAAGTGGAAGAACCTCATTGAAAGCCTTCTGGAAGCAGTACAACACCTTTTGGAACCTTTGCCTCATTCTGGTCCGGAGTGCATAATGTTCAAGCAGTTTAAGCATTTCCCATCACCACAAAGCCTCATATTTCCTAGGATTAATCAACAATGGCTCCTCCAGCTTTGACATAGCAGCTGGTCAAACAAACACAAATCCACATTTACAAATTTTCACTTCACTCCCAAATAAATAATTAATAAAAATAACATGGAGAATTTCTACGTCTAAATAATTAATAAAAAAAAAAGATATTTCGGGGAAATTCAAAGTTAGCACCTTGAGTTAGCTTTTTTTATTCCAGTACATTCCAAAACTGAGACAGATTGCTCTCTATTTTCTCTCATAATACAGAAGTGCAGTTTCTATTTTTTGATCAACCAAAGCATAGTCGACATCTTTTAGAGTCACTTAGATTGCATCTCCTTACATGATTGAAAAAACAATTGAATCACAATTAACATTAACAGAATTTTTAAATCATATATCCAATCCTATAGAGAGATCACAATCAAATGGTTGTTATCTGGCGATGAAACTTAAAAACCAAAAATGCACCTTAATGTCCTAGAGAGAACAGAATTGCAAGCAAAAGTAGAATATTGAAACAATATCGTGATAATCACGAAATAAGTTTATGCGTTTGCTAATATTGATTTATTAGGTTCCAACTTTGTCTCAATTTATCATTTTCTGTTAAACTGAAAGTGTAAACATTTAGGCACTAACCAAGAAAAAAGCAATTAATTATTTGATGCTACTTACAAAACCAATTGGCATATATAGGCTTTGGTTAAAAGGTTAAGTATTTACCAAAAGATTCCAGCTGCAAAAATGCATGGAATATCTACAAAGTGTTTCATAAATCCAGAAATAGTCATGCTTCCAAACAACCGAACACAATTGATACCAAATTGCAACAATTCTTTTAAATTAGTCAAATTAATCTATTGATGCACAAATAGAAAATTGTTGTATATATTCAGTTTCACCTTTTGCAAGGAGTAGTTAATGATATCCAAGAATGATGTGAAGACATATCATGGGTTAAACTATCTATGAGTTGAAAAAACTAAAACGCATTGTACAGAGCAATGAAATAGCTAAAAAGCAAATGAAATAACTAAGTTACCATTCTTTGTCTTAAGCAGCAAAACTCTCATTCCATCAGGTACATTTCCACTTCTTCATATCCTCTGCAACAAAATAAACTATATCAACATCGAAGTGATACTCACCAATTGAAGTCCACATGATACAAAGCCTTGGCAAAAAAAAAGGACAAAAAAAGTAGTTAATAAGAAACAATTTCATCAAGCAAAGATACAAAGTGGACTATAGGATTTTATGAGAAAACTCATATATTAATCCTTTATAACCCAGCAAGAGATTGGCCAATGCATCATTGAGTTGAGTTCTTATACATATTTGACTGCATAAACCAAAAGCTCAAAGTGGGATTCAAAAAGTCAACACGTTCAAATGCTATATTTTTATAGGGATTTAACACTTGGTAATTTCTCGAGTAGTAAGTTCCCATTCTTTATCTATCTAATTTCACACGCCTACAACAAATAAAATAGTTGAACAATTTCAGTTTTTGAAAAAGGAAACACAGATGGAAGAAAAAATTCAACAATTTGATCTTGTAACTCATAACCACAGAGAGTCAAAAGCACTTCAATTATGTAAGGATGGAAAAGGGGTGCAAATAACTTATGCCCAATCGAAATCACTGCCTAATTGTCAACTTTTATAGACAAAGATTAGAAAAGTTTAGAACCAAGCACAATAGTTAAAGTTACTTTAGATTTTCCAATGTTCATAATCATTTTGCTGCTATATAAACTAATATATTGGCAATGGCATAGAATGCCTATAAAGCTACTTATAGCGCAACAAATTCCAATGCATATATACTGATGTTCTTGCCTTTGCAAGCAGCCAGCTTCTATTGACCCATTGAAGTTTCAATAAATATTATCTATTCCAATAATTGAATCGAAGCCTCCTTCCAAAAATCCTAATCGCAAAACCAAGAATCACAATCAAAACAAATGATACAAATACATACACAGAGATATACACTTATATCTACTTAGCTACTGTACAAACCACTCTTTTTTCTTAACCTTGGCTTCAAAGTAAACTTTTGTACTACACTTCAACCGCCTCGTTATTTCTTCCTGCACGTGTTCGAACGAATCTGTAAAATAAAGTGAAAGAGTAAAATAATAGATTATCATAGCAAGAACTAAAGAAATTCATCCATATTGCCTTATTCAATCACATCATTCCCTTTTTCCCTACTAAATCAAAAAGAGGTCAGTGATTCAATACAAATATATTCACAAAAATAAAAAATTCTTATATTTTCCTGAAGGGATATCCCAGAATTTAAATTCACCCATTCCCTAATTGTCTTAATTGGAGCGAACCCAGAAACAAAGTAACGAAAAAAAAAATGAAAAACTTATTCTCAACATCTAAACAGTTCAAAGCCCAGAACCAATAAAAAATATTTAAATAAAAAAAATTTAAAAAAAAAAAAAACAAACACAAAGAATACCTTTGCGGGTTTGGGCCTCTTTTCTCCTAAGTGTTACAGTATTGGTGCTGCGCCTTAATCCGTCGTGTTTCCGTCGGTAATAATCAAAGGTGGGGCTACAGGTTTGGATGAAGAAGAAGAGGAGGATCCGAGCCTACAAACAAAATCACAAAAAGCAAACTTAAACACAAAACCCATCTGCAAATCCTAAACCACCAAAAAAAAAAAAAAAAAAAAATTAAAACACCCACGCTAAGAAAGGCGGAAAAACTCACCAGTAACCGCTAACTTTTCTAGGTAAAAAATCGAATCGATTCGAATGAAAAATCAAAAAAAGTTCTAGCTGCAGAGTGCTGCTGCACACGCGAGGACATGTTCACAAAGCCTTTCAAAGGCTGAGATTCAACTTTCAAATATGAAGACTTTAACCCACAATTGTTCTTTCTTCCCCCCGAAACCCTCATTGAAGGACAGCAAATGAAACTGTACACGCCAACCCCCGAATTCAGTGAAAACCGAGAAGACAAAACCCACTTTCCCACTTTTGAAATCCATCACCCATACCTCTCCCCTGCACTCTCTTCCCATCGGCATCTCTCTCTCTCTCTCTCTCTCTCTCTCTCTCTCTCTCTGTTTCTTCCGCTCTCTGTCAGAGTTTCCATCCCCCGAAACCCTCATTGAAGGACAGTAAATGAAACTCTACACGCCAACCCCTGAATTCACTCAAAACCGAGAGGACAAAATTGCCCTTCCAACCTAGTCCACATATAATGGGTTTCTTGCAAATAAGGTGAAATGAAGGGGTAATTCGTCCTAAACCCTCCAGACAAAATTACCCTTCTGAGTTCAAATAAATACCCCCAGCCCAAATCTCATGGTTTTATTGTAAATAAGATGAAATCAAGAGGCAAACAATTGACTGTAACGGAATGAACAGTCAATTGCTCCTCAATTTTAGAATAGATAATGTATCTGGGTTTCCTCAAGCTCTCACGTGACCGCTGACCATCTCTGGAATTTTTTACCAAACTTTATGTGACTGCACGTGAGGACTGTACAGAAACCAAGCTGGTTCAGATACCAAGTTTTGTCCAGGTGGATCTTTTGAGTTTTGAATTCTCCATGGTTCCTCTCTTCTTCAAGCCCTCAGGTTTATTGATCATATTGATATAATTAGGAATGAATGGGGGGAGAATTGCGAATCAAAATGAGAGAAATTTTATGTTATGAATACAAGTTGCATAAAGTGTTAATCTCTCCTTTGTAGAAAACTTCACTCTAAATTATGTTTTAAAAAACGCAAGAATTATAAGTACTAATTTATTGCGACCTGCAGGTAAAGCGAACAAAACTTTCCTACTTTTGGTGACTCTTGAAATTTTCAATTTTGTACATGCAGCATGAAAAATTACTGGAATCTTATAATAATTAGGGCAATTACGGGTTGTATGGTGACTGGAATTTAAAGATTGATAGTTTACGTCGACTATTGATTTTGAGAAAGAAATTATCAATAGAAGACCTTTCAGCCTTGGTTTTGGGATAGCTATTACGTCTAGTGGTTCAATTTTCTGATATTATTAACCGTCTCTCAGCGGATGCATATGTAACAATCACATGTGGAAATGTATATGTAATAATTACATGTGGCACAAGTAACCTAATACAATTAATTAAGAATATATTCAGTCCTACTAATTACAGCAAACCATAAAGAAAGTATAAGTTGTTTATTTGTCCCTTGTTTGCTTTATATGTGATGAGACAAATCATGTTGCTGAAAGTTTCATTAAAACTCTTTCATTGACAAGTTTAGTTGTATACTTTTGTGTAAGCAGAAAAATCATAATCAACTAAAAACACTTATCTAGATTAGAACTTTCGTTGATCAATCTTCTGAGTGTTTGCATCTCTTCATATATTGTGACAACTCCATAACATAAAACAAAAGATCTTCTACTCTCTTTCACTGACCTTATCACAACTCTATTCAATGGAGTTAGAAATGTTATTTATATGTATTGAGTGTGAGAGCAGGACCCCTTGTTATATAGTAAAAAAAATGGCATCCTAGTAGGGAACTTCCCAAGTATTATTGAAATCAATCTTTGCAATCTTTAATCTATATGAGATGTTACATACCACTGTGCAACTCTAAAATAGTCTTACACTTTGATCCAACAGATAGAACTTTTGCAGATGATGCCGGAGAAGAACTGATTTTTCTATGTTCAGATGGACAAATACTATTGGTAATGGATATATTAGTAAATTGTTGGCAACAAGATCTTCGAAATCTCCACCGGAGTTTAAACTTGGACAAGGTTCTGAATATCCCGACAGAAGGCCCTTTCCATTCGGACATAAATATAAGATTGTGGATTCCAAACCCTAGGGCCCATGCGGTGAGTTTCTGAGCGTCCTTGGAATATGTATGAAGACAATCTTGAAGTTGTTGCTTTTGAACCCAAAACTACCGTAATTAATTCCCATGACATTTGGTCACAATTAAGATAGAAGTAGGATTCTCACCTTCCTCACACATTCTTCTTTTTATCTTATTTTTTATATAAAAAATTTAAAAAAAGATGTAGACGTGACGTAATCATAAGTATTTAAATAGTATAGGATAGAATGAAAAAGAGATTACGAGGAAAGAAAATCTTACTCTATTAAAATAATAAACCTTATTGTGGTCTATTGGAGACAAAATCTATGTCATGTCCAGAGCTTTTCGCTACTACGTGAGACAAGAAAACCCACCAACCCTCTTCAAAGTTTTCGATTGGATTGTGGACAGTCTACCCAAATCCACTCGTCAGACTAGTAGTAAAATTTCTTGATGTGGTTGGGGCAACAAGCTGGTTGTTTTTCAACTGTACAAATACGATTACATTTCGACACGGATAATGCTAAAGAGATTAAATTTGAAGATAAAATTTTAAAAACTAAATAATATGGAAGTTAATGATTGATTTATTATTTAAACGTTGATAAACATGCTCATTTTTATTAGTAACACATTATTCACTTGAATGTGAAGCCATTAATCTCATAAGGAACGCTTGTAATTTTGAGTTGATTCTTTTTAGAATCACTATTGTAAATTTTCATTAACTGAATACATATTTATGTGTGGGCAAGTCACTACAGCTGCCTAAGATTATTGCATTTGAGGTAAAAGAAAAAGTTTATTGACTTTAATCTTTGAATAAGATTGAATTTAATTAAAATTAGTGTTAAATTACATATTAATTCTAGGCCCTTGACTAGATATCCACGAAAGCATAAATATGTAAATTCATTTTTGATAGAGTCGAAGGGACAAATTAATTTTTAATCTTGTATGATACATCTATTTATATTTCATCTTGTGAGACTAAATTGTATTTAAAAAAAAAATACATATATATACCTAGCAAGTGGGTTCAGATAACTTATGGAAAGATAATAGGGGGTTTTAACGAAAAGTCCGCGGTACTGTTCACTTTAACGAAAAACCACATTTTTACACTAAAAAGTCTAACCTGGTACTATTCACTTTACCCTTTATTTTGTCCTTATCGTTAAAACTCAAAGTTTTCAAGCTTTTTTTATTAGTTTTCCTAAGATAATAATACATAAATCAAAATAGAATGTGAGTGTAAAGAATAAGTTGGGTATAAATTAGATATAAAACATGGGTACAAATAAATTTTCCAATCTAAAATAAAATAGGCACTCTTGTCGAACCACAAATTTGTCCTTGTATATTTTACCTGGTTCACCCATTTAATTCACAAGAAGAAAAAAAAGTGACAATCCGTCTCTACTTTTATAATTTTATTAATTTTAAATGAGTGAATTGACAAAAATGCTCTAGAGGTGAAGGTATTGAGTTTCGTTGACTAGCTTATAGTGAGACTTACAAAATGTTCTTTTAGCATATCACTATAGTACTCGACAATACGAACCATAGGGGCAAGCAAAATTGAAACCGGAGTTACGATAGGGGTTTTACAGAACTATAAATCCGAAAAGTACTTTTGTAAAGATTAATATTTATTATTTTATATATTTCTCATAATTATTATATTATTATTTTAAAGGAATAATCTCAGTTTACTACTCTGAAATTTATGGGTTTTCAACATTTAATACATGAAGTTTTTTTCATCCCAGAATGGTATATAAAGTCATAATTTTGAGACATGTTCATACATCCATTAAGTTTTCTGTTAAATTAGTCGTTAACTGGTGATATGGTGCTCACGTGGATAGTGACTAGGTGTCACGTGTCATAAGGGTCCATATAAATATTAAAAGTTAAAAAATTCAAATTAAAAAAAAAAAAAAAAAAGTTTATGAGGAACCGCACGGCCAAAACCCATCATCCCTTCCTTCTTCTCCCGCTTCAACGCTTTCACCAAGCATTCCCTCCCTTCTCTTCTGCGCCCACCCAACCATCCCTTCTCTCCTCTGCGCCAACCCAACCTTCTTCAATCCCCGGCACATCCAACCTTCCCCCTCCTTCTTTGACTCCACTATTCTCTCCCCTGATCCTTCCATACCTGACCCACATTTCCCTTACCACCATACCCCAACCCCATCCATTTGACTGCCAGTGGTCAACAAAACCCAGATTTACGACTAAAGACTCACACCTACCAGATTTGACGGCGATGGAGAACAAAACCCAACGGTCGGAAAAGACGGTGGTGGGGAGCACAAACCTAGCAGCCAAACCGATTTTTTAATCTTTTCAAATTTTCTTTCGATTTTTACGTTGAATATAGACTCTGTTATGCAAGATTTGGTCAAATTTGGATTTTTTTTTTTCCTGCATTTGTGTGGATTCGGATCCCAGGTGCCAAATAAGGACAAATACAGTGAAAAGGGTTGGGTGGATGTGAAAAGGGAGTACAGCGCTGCCCAGATGGTGAAAACAGAAAAAAGTGGAACATAGAGAAAAAAAGAGAAAGGTGAAAGAGAGAGGAGAGGAAGAAGGAATGGAGAGGTGTGTTGGTAAGGGTGTAGCGGCAGAGATGGTGGACTTAACCTAAACCCTCATCAGTTAACAGTTGACTTAACAGTAACCTTAACGGATGTATGAAACTGTCCTAAAATTTGACTTCAGATACCACTCTAAGATGAAAATAACTTGATGTACTAAATGTTGAAAACCAAGAAACTTGAAGGTAGTAAACTGAGATTAACCCTATTTTAAAATTATTTTGTGAGAAATGAGGGAATGGAGAGTAATGGACGGAGGAAAGAAGGGAGAAATGAGAGGGGGCTGTTGCCCAATCAAAAAGAAGAGAAAGAGAGAGTGACCAACCAGAGAGGAGAGAAATTAGGGGAAAGGAGAAAGGTGCAAAGCACCCAAACGTGACCCGTGCACCCACACACCCAACTCGGTTTCGACTCAGAGGGTTTTCTGACGATTCTCATCCATTTTTTTCAGGCGATTTTTACCCATTCACCACACCAAACCTCATCACCACATCCCAACATCCATTTATGCTTAAAATCGACACGAATTGGTTAAGATTTCACGAAAAACCCTTGCCCAAAATCCACCAATTATGAAATGTTTTCCTTCAATTGCCACCACCATTAGACTCCCTTTAAGGCCTAGAACAAAGCTCAAACAACTATAGGGGCAGTGGAGCACCATAGGTGATGGATCGAAGCCACCTATTTCTAGGGGTTCCGACGAGTTCGAGGGAAATTGGAGCTTTTTTCGGCCGAATTGGACTTCGGCTTAGGTATGAAAGTTGTTCCTCTTATTGAGATCTTCATTCCTGTAAAATTTGGGAATTTTTGGAGTTGTTCGATTTTCCGACAAGTCGAGACGGCCAACCGC